CTCCCGCCCCCTCCCCTGGCCTTCCCTGCAGTATTGTCTGTCCATGGGCTATGCATATAAGCTTTGCGTTAGCCTCTTCCAGCTCCCCCGGCCCCTTCCCTCTGAAATAGGTCAGTCTGTTCCATGCTTCTATGTCTCTGGATCTTTTTTGTCTGTCAGTTTATATTGTTCATTAGGTTCCACATATGAGTGAGATCATGTGATATTTGTCTTTCTCTGCCTGGCTTATTTCACTTAGCATAATACTCTCCAGTCCCTCCATGCTGTCCCTAAGGGTACGAGATCCTTCTTCTTTACAGCTGCCTAGTATTCCATGGTGTGAATGTCCCACAGCTTTGTATCCACTCAGCTACTGATGGGCACTTGGGCTGCTTCCAAATCTTAGCTATTGTAAACTGTGCTGCTATGAACACAGGGGTGCACATATTCTTTCTGATTAGTGTTTTAGGATTCTTAGGATATATTCCCAGAAGTGGGATCATTGGGTCAAATGGCAGCTCCATTTTTAATTTTTTGAGGAAACTCCACACTGTTTTCCACAGTGGCTGGACCATTACTGGGGTTCGTTTTCCCCACATCCAAGAGACATATGAAAAAATGCTCGATGTCACTAATCATCAGAGAGATGCAAATTAAAATGACAATGAGGTACCACCTCACAGCTGCAGGAATGGTATCATCCACAATCAACAAGCAAATCAGGTTTTTCTAAACAGAATCAGCCCAGAGTTCTTTTCATTTGCATAAGCTCTCTGTTAATTCAGTTGTTTTTATCCAGAGAAAACAGGAGAGAAAATACCTAAGCAATTCAGTGAGAATATACATCTTTCAGTTGAAAATTTTAGGTATTTTAAAAAAATTAAAAATTAACATTTAGCTAAATTATACCATCTTATAGTCCAAAGGTTATTAATTTTTTTGTTCACTCAGTTCATATAGACAAACGTATGCTATAAAGAGATATGTACTACTAGTAACATATTATACATTCACACAGCAGTTTCCAGGTAACGTAAATGGTAAAGAGGAAATGGGCTGTGGTGATGTGTTTAATCAAGGTGTCCGTGCCAGCCCCACGCTGTGCCGTGTACACAGCTTTAACTTTGGAGGAGAAATTTGTAAGTCACACCTATTAGTAACTTCTTTTGGGGCTTCTTGCTGGATCTAATGATCTAGTTCAGTTGATCCTCTGGGGGCCAGCTTTAGCTGAAAAGGAAAATGGAAATGAAAGACCAATTAAAAATGAGATGTTGCTTCCTTGCTGTGAGGACACCAAAATACACAAGGAACACATTCTCTTCAATATTTATTCATCCGCTTTTCATGGTAATTAGTTGGGCTCTGACTGTAAAGGGGTAGACTTAGCAGAGCAGCTCACTCTGAGAAGTAAGGATGCAAACAGCTGGCTCTGCATCTAAAATTCTTAAATTCATTGCCGAGTGGAAACTGTGTGCCTTCCACTGCTTACTGACTGCT